CAGGCCCTGAATATATTTTTGACATTTGCCTGTGAGATAGCCACTTGACCATAATGAAAATATCTTCAGACGAACTATCAGATAATGAATAGCTAATTGTGATATCACTGTTTTCTATATCTCTTCCCCCACCTTTAAGAGTGTGAGCTCTTGACTCGGGGTTAGTCCTCCGTCTGCCCCTTCCGCTCAGCCCATTAACCCTGACCCTCACCCTGGCTTCTCTTCTTCGGAAAGAGGGAAAAGAGGACCAGAAAGAGATGATTAAAAAGAAAACACAGATACGCGAGGAGGGGAATACTTGCTGGCAGAAGGGGTTGCAAAAGTGGGCGCCCCACTTACAAATCCTCCTGCCTTTTGTTTTCTTACTCGGAATTCAATGACCGCTGCCCCCACCACACACACACACACACACACACACACACACACACACACAGGCCGTATTTTTCAAGAGAGGGGGGTGGGGGCGAAGAGGAGAAAAAAAATAGCCACCAAATTTTTTAAATGGTTTTCCTGATTTGACGTTTGGTGTTTTGACGTTAATGACAGTAATGTTATTGATGATGTTTCAGGGAGAAAGAGGCAAAAGAAATAAAGGAGAACTTGAAAACGAAATGATCATCATTTCCCTCTTCTTCCCTGCCAGAAATAGACCCCTTTCTTCACCTGAGCCTGAAACAGACTTATTGTTCTCAGGTGTTTCCTTCATCACACGCATTTGCCCGTCTGAAATCGCAGGAAATGGTTTTTCCATCAGTGAGCTTGTACATGGAGCCCTCTCCCGCAAAGGGCTTGATCTTTTCTGATTTGAACCTGAAAGTTTCCCTGCCTTCATTTCCCCTCCGTCTCTTTAAAAGCCCCCCCACTCCCTTCCCCATACACACACCTCAAATAGTGGGGTTTTTTTTAAGCCAGAATTTTTTGCTCTCTGGGGTGTTTTTCAGTAAACAGTAACGCTACATAAACACCTTCTTCACTTGCAAGTTACAGAGAATTTAAATTTCACCCTCGTGGGCATGTATGTTTCTGAAGGCACATGGATGAAGCCCAGCAAGATGCAATCAGACACTGCAACACATGGTGGGTGATACAGTGTAAAAGTGGGGCTGTAAGCAAAGTAACTTAACATCTTAGAAAGCTGTCCAGTTTGAGCAGATTTCTTCCCAGCACATCTGAAATGGAATGGAGTCTTTGGAGACGACTACTTTGCTTTCTGCTAACGTTTAGTAGCCCTGGTTCTAAGGCGCTGGTACATCCACAGACTCCAGATCCTAAGGTGGTGCTCTGCTATTTTCTCTTAATAAAGACCATGTCTGGGTTTTATTCCCCACTGCCAGCCTCTGGACATGCATTGGCACCTGAGCCAGCTGCCACAGGCAACCAGCTTTCCTGACCTGGGTCTGGGTCTGCTCTACCCAGGACTCTGCTTTTATCCTCCAGGTGCATTTGGGGGTGGGGGGTGGGGGTTAACCCCATTTGCATCAGTCCTAGGATTTTCCACATGTTCCCTGATCACGCCAGGTTTCAGGCCAGAAGGGTGCAGGTTTGCAGCCTCTGTTGTCCCTAGTGCTTGTGTGATAAACCTTTCTGGTGGTATTTGGTAGATTTGGTGCTTAAGGCCTAAGACAAGGTTTTGAAGCAGATCCTGGCGAACCAGAACTTCAAAGGCCTGTCAACCCCAGAGCAGCTGAAGCCTCACCTGTCCAGGAAGCTGGACATTGCAAGTATTTCCTGTTTTTAGCTTGTTTGATTTGTTCCTCTCACCTTCTCTGTAGAATTTCTATTTTTGAAATATTGCATAGGTGGTGTCTCCTTGTGACCTGTGGTGTAGCAGTGTATCAAGATGCTATCTGAAAATATATATATATATATATATATATATATATATATATATATATATATATAGTCAGGGGGTATTTAAAAGTATGTCTATTCCTAGTTTTAGTTAATTATCTTTTAATGAAAGTGTCACTCATATTCACATCTGTAATATTGGGAAGAGATAATTAGATTTTCAAATGAGAATCAGCCACCTTAAATTTTGCACCAGAAAATACCAAGTATATTTCATTCTAATGAGATCTGTAGTGGGATTTTTAAATTCATCATAATGTGCTTCAAGAAAGATAATTCAACAGACTGGCAAGATGAAAGGGTTTTTTTCCTAAGTCTTCTTAAAGCCATTACATTGAACTTATGCAATGCTGATAAAATATTCAAAAATATTCCGTAAAGGTTAGAACCGTCCCCCCTCTCTCACCCTTGCCATCATCACTTCTTCTCATTAGAAAGTTTACTTTGACTAAACTAACCGCTTCCATCTTCCCTGCCCTGGGTTTTTCTCCCCTGCGTGTGCAAGCGAAAGATAGCCCTTTACAGAGCGTGCCTGCAGATGCGGAGTGCCATTCCTCCTGTGCACTCGGCTGGGCAGGGCCGGCTCTGCACACCGCCAGGCACCCTGGATTTACATACATCTGCATATCTTCCAGGCCCCGCTCTTCGCCATTAGCGTGCGTTCTCGCGCACAGCTGAATCCACTAGGCAGAGCAGACCTCTCCATTGCCCTAACTCCCATTTCTGCTGAAAGCTCCCTAGTAAACAAATCTCTGGTCCGCTAATAATGACTTTGCTCATTAAAATTAAAAAGGAAAAAAAAATCGAGTGGTTAAAGGGCAGTGCTTTGGCGGTGTTTAGCTTTGACACCTCCCCCCCCCCCTTGCTGAGTGTGTGTGAGTGTGTGTGTGTGTGTGTGTGTGTGTGTGTGTGTTTGTGTGTGTGTGTCTAATGAAGTTTGGGAGTCGCGCGCAGGGGCGCGTGGGGTGCGAGCCCCGAGGTCCCCGTCCCTGCCCTCTCCGCGGTCGCCGAGTCCCGGGCTCCCGCCGCCGCGCTCCGAGCCCTGGAAGCCGCGAGGCTCCCGGCTGCTCCGAGCCCGGGCTGCGCGTCATTTGCAGTCTGGGGAATGTTGATCACCTCACTAATTACACCTCTCTCTCCCCCCTCTCCCTCTCCCTCTCCCTCGCTCTCCTCTCTCATTCCCAGAGTGCATATCGGGAATAGACACACAAAGACATGCGCACTCAACTTAATCAGCCATTTTTTTAAACAGGGCTAAAACGATAATAATTAGCAGAATAAAGACATATCGGATTTTCATTTCCTTTCCTCCTTTTCCCAACCCCTTCACAACCAAACAGCGAGACCGCGGCGGGCACATGCTTTAACTCCTCCCGGACCCCCGAGGACCGCTCCATGCCCCCCACTTTCTGCTCCAGCGTTTTTATTTTCACCCAATAAAGTTCGAGGATTATTTTTTTATTTTTTTATTTTTTATTTTTTTTTTAATGAACCCTCTCGTTTTACTTGGATGTGATCAGCTGTAAGTAAAATAAAAGCAAAACAAAAAAAGAGGCGAAGATCGCGTAGGAACTGCAGGGGAAATGGAAAGTAAGTTTTTTCTTTAACTTTTATTGAGTAGTTTGTGTTAAATTTAGGTCGGGTATCGATTATCTTTCCAGCCTGATCTTGCACAATCTCTGATATTTCGCTCGCTCTCTCTCTCCCTCTCCGCCTCTCCCTCTGCCCCCGGCTCGCTCGCTCCCGCTCACGTCCCCGCATCCCGACCATCCCTTCCGCTCTGCCCCCCTTTTTCTCTCTCTTTCCCCCTTTTTTTGGCTGGAGGACTGGCTCCGCGGAGGGAGGGAGGGGACCCGGAGGGGCCTGATTCCCCACTTTCTTTGGGGGGCGACGTTTTTCGGGATTTAACTTTTGGATGAAGTGGCGGATCCCCGTGTTTGGGCCGAGCAGTTGGCTGTCCTTTTTTCCTGTGTTTTCGGGTCCTGTCTGCGCCCGCGAGCCCGGGCTTTCTGGCGGCGCGGGAGGCTGTCAGCTCGCGGCGGCGCAGCCACGGCCGGGATCCCCGCTCGCCCCGCGCCCCGGTCGCCATGCCTTTCT